TACAGGAGCTATGAGCTATTGAACAAACATGCACGACTCTATGGAACTGAGCTAGTTCAATAGAAAAGTGTTTTATGCTTGAAATATTTACAGATACCTTTATTACTCTAGATCATGTGGAGTTAATAAAGAGGTATAACAAAGTCCAACTTACTTGCAGCTCACACCCCATTACCCCCAAGAACGGAAAAACAGTAAGCAGATAAGTGAAAACCTCTACCACCATTTGTTGAGCTGTTGTGAGTTCCTTCTGCCATCTGAAAATAGAGGGATATTAAGTAAAGCAAAATGATGCTTTTGGCAAAATTTAAGAAACAATTGAAAGCCGCATCTTCAATTGTGAAGCTTTATTTTTAAAACATGTATATTGCTAGAGCTATTACATGTTGCAGAATGTGCAGAACTGAGGGTTACAGGCTACAAATATCTCATACTAGTTGTGAGATGTTGCAAAAAGCCTTCAGATGATCTTAGTGCTATTTTCGCAAATTTTTAGTGGCTTCACTCATGATGAGGCCCTGAGGAACTCGATCATATATGTCAATTCCTGTATCCCCAAATTTCACATATTTGATTCTCATTGTTGCACACCACATTTGTTATACTGAGACTTAACCTGAATAAGGACAAGAAGTAGATAAATAATTTGGAACATGAATCTGTGTTTTCCCATGGAAAGGTAGGAGTATCTTGTTCTCTAGAAAAGCTACATTACCTACTCTTCTTTGGCTCTTAAACTAGTTAACTAGTGCATGACCACTGTGTGCTGCGGTTAGACTAAGCATGTTACTATAAACTTCTCCAATCAATTTTTGATCTAGAAAGTTTGTAGGCCTCATTAATTGAACTTGATAGTTGTAGTCTCTTGTTTGTTTTTTTTCACCAGCTTTTATCTGTCTTCTTCTCGCTCTGTTCATTATCTATATTAACATATGAATGTTTAATTTGAATATTGTTTATTTCATCTGCCAAATATAATAACTTCGTCGTTACAATGTGAAACATTGCAGTGGCGCATTCCTTGAAGATGCTATGTTTGTTTCATGTGGACATTCCTTTGGTGGTCTAATGCTGAAAAGGGTTATTGATATGGTAGGAGTTGGCATGATTTTTGTCTTCGTTTCTAGCTAGCCATTTTTCTGTTCTCCTTAGAAGGTGGAGATTATGAAATGGCATAATTGCTTCATTACAAAGCCACTCTTGCTTGAAATCATTTTCCTTTTTGGTTTCATGCTGCTGTCTTCACTTGCTTGGGTGAATGATCACATTCATCTCTTCATGGCAGGCAAGATGTACCCTCTGCAATGCGGAAATTGAGCGTGGTTCGTTAATTCCCAACCTTGGTGAGCTCATGTTCATTTATTACCCGCTATCTTTTTCCCTTCAGGCTTGTTATTTTAATTTGTATTTTCTTATGCACTCTACCATTCTGGAAACTCTTATTAAATTTTTGATGATTATTCTTATTGATTATGCAATCTGATTTACAATATGGATTTCATCTTTAGTACTAAGAGCTGCGGCTGCGGCGGTGAAGCATGAGGATGATCGAAGACTCTTCCACAATGCAGCTCTTAGAAAGCGCCGAAAAGAAGTGGGAGACAATAGGGTAAGCTTTGATCTTCCCATTTTGCTGCAGCTTTTTCCATCCAAACTGCTAATTAGAACTCATTGTCTTCAGCTTTTTGGTAAAAGGAACTATCTTAATCTGGTTTTATTCAATGACATCACAACTAATATATCCTAGTCGATTTTTGGATAATTTTCCGTCTCAAGTGCACGCAAGATTATGTATTTTGAAATCACCAAGCGAAAATGATGATGTAGAATATGTACCTGGAAAATAGTATAATTCACGTTCCTCTATATGTACTTTTCTCATCTATATCTTTTTCTTTTAATGGTAAAGTCAAAACTTTGTTGAAGGACTTTTCATAAAAAAGAAAAGAAAAGAAAAGAAAAGAAAAGAAAGAAACTTAGTTGAAGGACTTAATTTTGGTAGATTTTGACAGATTTCATAGGTGATATTGAAAAAGCAAGTCTAATGCAGTTTTTGCAATCCTTTTCTGGCATAGAAAAAAGCTTGGAATTAATGGTATTGATCTTCATCCATATTTATATGCTGTTCTAGATTAGGTAATAAGGGAAACCACAGAAGACACACAATTAGTTGAATAATCTGCTGAACTACTAGGACACTGTTGCTCACGAATCTGTTTTTCTAGGTTAGACACCAGTCCTACTATATCTGTTGCTTTTACCTATTATAATATTCTTCGACAATTGACTTCTTCATAAGAGATGTCATGTACCTAACTTAAGGATAGGTCGTTCTCGTATTCTTGGGAGGTTCCTTGAGTAGCGTTCCCCTTTGTTGGGGAAGGGGGATGCTTTTCCCCAGTTAAGCTAGTGCTGGAATGGTTAGGAATCTGAAACACCGGCACAACACTGCCCATATCCTCGGAGCTCCCCCTTAGGGAGGTGGATTGAAAGTATTATTGAATCTCTGATAATTAATGATCCTGTGAGGTTGGAAATTTGTCATTTGAATTGCTATCTATCATCTCTGTGTAACATATAGTTAGATAAAATCACATTTCACATTAGCAAGCTGAACTTAATGCATTGGAGTACCGCACGGAGATGTCTCAGGCAAATCTCAAATTTCTTGCTTCATTTACCTATAAATGTTTCACATTTGAATTTCTTAATGATTCGTAGAAATCCTCACTACTTCAAACCTTCCAGGAAAATGGAGAGGTTCCTTCTGAAAATGGACCCCATAAAGGTGTTCAGTATCCATACTCGGTGAATGAGAAAGTTGTTATAAGGGTGAGATATTTGTGAGACTGCATTTTAAATTTTCAAAGCTATAGGAAAGAATTCACCGAATTACAGCGATGAGAATGCTAAACTGTGCAGGGAAATAGGAGGACACCAGATAAATTTGTTGGAAAGGAAGCTGTAATCACGTCACAGTGTCTTAATGGCTGGTTAGCTACCGGAGCATTTCCTTAATATTTTGCGTACCTACTGCAGTTTGAATGTCAATTTAGATCATTACAGTTGTTGCATGGAATATCCAGTGCGGTGTTTTAGCTTAAATTACTGAAATCTAAGTGATACTGCTGCAAGAGCCATCCATTTAGAGGAAGTAACCAATTTGACAGCTCAAAACTTAAGCTATTATTGGGTCTGCAAGGAAGTCCCAATTGTAGTTTATGGTGTCTTGCATTAGAATAAATATGATAGACATTATGGATATTATTTTGCTAGTTGTAATCTGTGAATCATTGTAAGTCTATCAAGGACTCAAGGTCCATGTTTGTTTCATAGTTAACCACTTAAGTTTACAGACATATCCTGTCATTCAATTTTGTCCGATTCACATATCTATAATAAAATAAGAAATAGATATACCTTATTACAGGAAAAGTGTGTATTGGTATGTCAAATTGAAATATTCAAGTAACAATTATCATCTAAAATTTTCAATAAAATCAAGTTTTTAGGAGCTTTTAGTCCAATGTGACAAAATGAATCTTTCTTCATGAAAGCATGTGTGTTATCTGAAGACTTCTCGACCTCTCAGTCTGTTCTATATCTATCAAGTAATTGAGATAAAAGCGATTAGCTTGTCATGTTGTTGCATTATATTGAAAAAATGATGTTGCATTTTATTGAGAAGTCGTATTTCAGTTGCTAGTGATGGTGTAGTTCTTGCAAATTCTCTCATTTCTTTGCTGTCATAAGAGATTAATACATTAAAGCATTTCAGTTGCTAGTGATATTTAGTTCCTGCAAATTTTCTCATTCCTCTAGTGTCATAAGAGATTAATACCATTTCCCTTGCAGTATGTTTTAAACAACTGTTTTGTTCCTTGGCTGGTTTGCTGGATATCTGCGACAATAATACTTTTAGACAGATGCATTGGTCATGCTTCAAAAGTTCTCCTTGTTTAGGGATCCCTAAAATGATCTTCTCAATTCCTGCAGGTATTTGCTTAAGATTATTGACAGTGGAGAAAATGTCCGGTTGCAGTACCGGTCTCTGCGTAAGATCGGTCCTTCCCAGGAAGCAGATGAGAGATGCCAGTCACAGACAGTTCAGAACAGTAGCTGATAGATGATCACGACCAATTTCCATGTGGATTATACTGTAGGAGCGAGCCCCTCTGTACTCTGCTCAAGTTTAAAGATGCCTCATTTTTTTATCCTGTAACCTAATTACCGGTACATGTTTGTGCTGTGAGAGAGAGAGAGAGAGAGAGAGAGAGAGAGGTTCATAGTTTGACAAAATCCTTAATAGTTGCTGGTATAAGATTGTAAAAGAAAGACCCCACCCTAGAAAGAGATCATCTTGAGGATAACAAGGTGGCTCCGATACCCTGTAGTGCAGTGCCGCTTATTTTCCACATGTATAGCCAAATATTCATTTTTGTTAAATCTCTCTGTATGATAGGGCTATACAGGGGATGCCCTGTCATATTTTTCAGTGCTCCTCTATGTTTCATTCATCATTGGTTCACTGTGCAGATAAAATGTTAGCTTCCTTTCCTGTACCCTATTGTTGCTGTTGTATTCATCACTGATCACTTGCTGGTAAATATCTGACCCTTGTTAGATTCAGAATTTAGTTACATTTTAAATAAATTGCAGAGCCAGATTTAGTGGGAGCAATGATCCAGTTTTTAAATGTTAATTTGGTAGGAAATGGATTCATTCCTTTTCGAAAGAGACCAAATTCAACTGAGTTTTCTGCAAACTTTAATCCAGATTTTAGTTGGTCTTAGAGAGGAGCTTTTAATTTCCAATATTGTAGCATTTGCTATATTAATGAGTTTGTTAACGAATTGTCTAGCAAAATCTTGATCAATTCACCAAATAGATGCAATTTTCTGAATGTTGTCAAGTAGACTGTCAGCCTTGCATATGATACATCGTCATTTATCAAGCTTTTTTAATGGAAACAGGGTGAAAATAATTCTAAGGAGGAAGAATTTAAGCCATGAAACACTTCTTCAAAGTGAGAACCTTTACATTGGCAAGGACAACTTTACAGGCAAAAAATCTAGGAAGAAATTAATACTTAATTCTGTTACAGTAGAAAACTAGGAAAGGATGAATTCCACTTGTGAATTATCAACATATGCTTTTTTTTGCTTTGTTTTTTTCTCAGAAGTCCTGACTTCTACAAAGCCTAGGCAAAGCTCTAGTATGAGCAGGAGGAATAATTGCCCCAGTTTTCACCATTTTAGACATTTGGCCTTTCATATCTTTGCATATTTTTTCCAACTCCACTACTCTCCACTGCATCTTTTGCAAGTTTAGCCTCATATATTCATGTTCCTCTTCTTGCAAGCTATGTTGATCACTTGAACTAGAACTGTCACTCTTGTTTTTCTTGTACAAAACCATTTGGCTATTGCTGACTTTTGTTTCCTTTACAAAGTTGTTGTCTGTTGTTGGGATACTTGAAGAATTCTGAGAAGCAAGTGCTTGGACAGCAATTCTTGGTGAAATTCTTGGATTTTCTGCTAAGTCTTTGCATGCTTCAAGGCTTAGTTTCTCATAGTTGAGACATCTGCATAGTCTTGATCTTTCCTCTAATGAAAGGGTTGGATGAGACTGCAATCAAATTTAAACCATATAATGTGCCATCTTAGATGCAAGAAACATAATATATAAGGCAAAATGAAAAGAAGAACGATAGCAGAAACACTATTCTTTCTGTTTTATTTTATATGACGCTCTTTCCTTTTTAAAGGGGAGTCTTGGAACAGTAAAGTTTTCTCCGTGGGACCTATAGGTCATGGCTTCGAGCCGTGGAAGCAGCCATTAATGCTTGCATTAGGTTAGGTTGTCTACATCACACCACTTGGAGTGCGATCCTTCCCCGGACCCTACGTGAATGCGGAATGCCTTGTGCACCAGGCTGCTCATTTTCTTTCTTTCCCTTTTGATTTATTTTACAAAGAATGACACTCTTCTATATTTGAAAATCCTTAAAGTTTAAATTTCACATTTTATCTTTAGTGACATGCTCTCACAGTTAAGGATCACAAATTCTAATAGTGTATGTGTCAGAAATCTTTCTTTTTTAAAACTCTATACTCAATCAAAACACTACTCCCTCCGGTCCAAAATAAGTGATTTTTTAGCTGTTTTCACGCAGATTAATTTAACATTAATTAGCAATGAAATTGACCATATTAACCTTTACTATCTCTTCACATAAATACTCCTAACACATACTCCAACACTATTTACTCCAAAGGCAATGTAGGAAAAAAATGATTAATTCATTCTTGAAATCTGAAAAAATCACTTATTTTGGACGACAAAAAAAGGCCAAAAAATGACTTATTTTGGACCGGAGGGAGTACAATACAAAATGAAATGGGAGGAGTACATAATTAACAAATGGCACCTTAATCATGTTAGGGGGGAGGAAATTTCTTTAGAATGAAAGAGTTATTTATAGAAAGGATTCAGCACATAAAAGGACATAGGCAATAAGAAATAGAAAGAACACAATGACAAAGTAAAATCAATTATAACTACCTAAAACAGTTTCTAGTACAAATCTTACAATGACTTAACTCAAGACTGTCCATGAAAGATGCTGCAGCAACTATTTTGAGGGTCCCATGCAGATCACTGATTGGTTTACATAAAAGTTCTCATGAATTAATGAATTCACAAGTTCCCATGACAAACTTTTATTATTACCCTACTACTTTTCCTTTTAAGTCCAAAATTCATATGCCATGCGAAATTCAAATGCTTTACATTTGAGTCTTCTCATGAATGCTAAGGGGTAATTTGGTAGCGTGTATACGAATAGTGCTGAATAAGGTGTATTAGTAATGTAGGAATTAGTAATATATGAGTTAGTAGTTTAAGTATTAGTTATGCCGAGATTATTTGTTATCCAGTATTTGATATGGTGTATTAAAAATTAATATGCATTACACGATATTAAAGAAAATTAGTTGTTTACAAAAATGCCCTCCATATTCTTTAGCTTTAAGGGATTTTAAGGATAATTTTATCTTTAACCATGCTAATCCATGCATTAATAGCCTTGGTATTGTTAATACCATGGTTTGCTATATATTAGTTATATATAGGATAATACCAAATAGGTTGTATAACTAATACTTGCATTAGTACAAACAAAGGATTAGCAATAACAAAAGCTAAATGCATGCATTATTTTCTCTAAAGCATCCTACCAAATGACCCCTTATAATCTTACACAGATGACTTAGGGCTTGTTTGGTACGAGGGATAAGGGATAAATAATCCTAGGATTAAATTTGAGATGAGTTTATCCCAGGTTTGGTTGGGATAATATCGCGGTATAACTAATCCTAGGATTAGTTATCCCGGAATGAAAGTGTTATTTTTGTTCCTATGAGAAGGTGAGACAACAATCCCGGAATAATAGATTAATTATCCCGGAATTTGTAGTGTTATTTTTATCCCTATGAGAGGATGAGATAACTAGTTCCGGAATAATTAATCATGGGATAACTCGTTCCCAACCAAACAACTCAAAAAATGAATTATGAGGTATTTCTCTCATATGCTAAAAGCCTTGTACCTTCCAACAAAGAAAAAAACATAAAAAGAAAATAGAGGTATATTTTGCATAGTATTCATATCATGAAAACTATGTTAAATCTGCAGTTCACAGTAAGGCAATAACAGATAAATCCATAAGTATGATTAGAAGGCCCCACTGCATGTTATGCATATCAGTATATCACCATAGTAAAATGTACTACTCATTTAGCTAAAACTAAAATTGTACTAGAGCATATTTATCTGTTGAAAAAAATGAAAAATAAAACTTGCATTTATTACAAGTGGTGCAACTAGTAAGTGAAACTTTCTGCACACTTGTGGGGTTTTCCCAAAAAGATTCAAAAAATTTCCACAAAAAGACACACTTTTCACCATAACAAAAAATGCAAAAGTGAAAAGTATTGCCTTATTGGGAAGACATCTTCTTGTCTTATCCCATATCTTTAGCTTTTTGTCCAAACCTTAAAAACTTTTTATCTTAGAGGCATCTTAAACTACTATTGACCAGTGAATCAGTAGCAGTTATTATTTCATGGATAAGAAGGGGGAAAAAAGAAAGACAAGGTAGTCCGGTATACTAAGTTCCCGCTATGTGCGAGAAACGGGAAAAAGCCGGATTACAAGGGTTTATTGTACGCAGTCTTATCCTTCATTTCTGCAAGAAATTGTTTTCACAGCTCGAACCCGTGACCTCCCTCCATCCCATTTTATGTGGCGATGTTTGATTTAGAATCGAGTTCAAGAAAAAAATGAAGACTTTTGAAACTTGAAGTATAAAACAAACAATAGATATTTGGGGTGTAAATTGTTTTTAAATTAGGAAAGAGGGCTTTTTTTTTTTTGTAACGTACTCCCTCTATCTTAAATTATCTGTCGTAATTTTTAAAAATAATTGTCTCAAATTATTTATTATTTTGGAAGTTCAAGACAAAATAAATTATATTTTTTTTATTTTACCCTAAATTATAATTGTTCTTGAAAAAAGAGATAGCACATAAATAGAATAAATATTTAATAAAGGGAGATCATAACTTAAGATATGAATAAGGGTAAATAGTCTAAAATTCCTTCTAATTAATGTTTCTTAAGGACGTATAAAAAAGAAACACGACGTATAATTTCAGATGGAAGGAGTACTAATAAAGAAAGAGATTCATCCTTAACCAGAGGTCTCGGGTTCGAACTCCTAGGTTTTAATGTGGGACTTCTCGGCGCGAATCCGGATTTAGTCCGGTCTTAATGCAGATACCGGACATCAAGTGGGAACCAAAAAAATAAAAATAAAGATAAAGTATCACATAAATTGAGACGGAAGGAATAATAATTACCTCAAGATAGATATCAATGGCTCTGTAAACCCCATCAAAACAATCCCTTGCATAATCTGGTAAACTCTCTGCTATGCCAAGAAACTTTGATATTTTAAGACTTTGGTCTGGAGCAATTTCTCTCAAATACTTATCTATCAATCTTCCAACTTTTTTCAACTTTTGTATAGAAACTTTATCATTAATATGAACAAAAACTTTAATCAATCTCAACACAAGATTCACATCATAAACACCTCCATTATGTCCACAAACAAGAATATCATCTAGTGTAGCTTGATCAAGATTCCCACCTATCAATTTCTCCAAATTACCTCTGCATTCTTTACTAATCCCAAATCCACAAACAATTCTTAATACCCAAAAAAGATTTCTACAAGAAAATGCTGTTTTCCCCATCAAAATCACACCTTTAACTGCTGTATCAGCTAAGCCACTGTACTCAATTCTTGAAATCAGATTCTGACTTTTGCAATATTGGGCTGATGTTTTTAAGTAATAAAGCAAAAATCTTGTGAGAAGTAAACTATTATTTTCACTTCCAAATGCTCCTAAAGTCCTCAAAAAATGCTCAATTATTTTTGGGGATAAAATGGTCATTTCCTCAAACCACCAAACTTTGTTTGTTGATATTGAACTTGACTTCATTTGTTCAGAAGATGATGAAGAAGAGGAAGCTGATGAAGTTGATAAACCAAAAAGATTATTAATATCTGAATTCTGAGCAATCTTGGCTAGAAGTGAAGTCATTAGTTTCTGAATTAAACCACAAGAATCTGCATAATTCAAGAAAGATTCACAGCTCTTAAGTGATGTTATTATATCATGCCATGACCAATAAAATAACCCTTCAAAAAAGTTTTCTGTTTGATGTAACAGATTGAAAGTTGATAACTTTTCTGTCATTTCAAGAAAATTTGCACAGCAGTGGAGTAAGCACACATTTGAGACAGTGATTTTAATGTTTCCATTGTTGTAACAGAACCTTGAAACCAATTCAAAACCTTCTTCTCCACCTGGAAAATCAAGAATCTCTATTCCTGAATTCTTTATCTGTGTTTTCTTCTTTTCTTGTTTGATTATTTTCTTCAACTTTCCAGAGAATCTTGAAATGACTTTCTGCAGAAAAAAAAAAAAAATTGTTTAGTAAATTAGTTAATTCAGGGGCGAAACTATACGTGGGCAAGAATGATCAACTGAACACCTTTCGCCAAAAAATTATATCGTATACCGAGTAAAATGTACTTATTATTGATAAAAAATAGATTTTGAATATCCTTGCACGACCCACTAGTAAATGATGTTTAAAATTGCAACGTCCTTATTGAATTTCTTGACTTCGCTGCAGATTGGTTGGTTGAGAGAATGAAAAATGGAGAGTTAAAAGATTGGTTGTTTTTACCTGGTGGAGAAAGAATGTGTGTTGACCATTTACATGGATTTGCAGATCACAGAGAGCTTGTAGTGGCATGGCTAATTTTGCACTGAATGAAACTAAGACAAGTGAAAGAAAAAAGAACAGTACTTTGAGTTTAGTAATTGAAAGATACAAATAGCCTCTCACAAGCTATTGGTTACATGTGAAGGAATTTATATACGCTATAGGAGTATATATTAACGGCATAAAAAATCTTTACGCTATCGGAACGAAGGCGGATCCAAGATTTAAATATTGTGGGTTCAATTTTTAGGATCCTTGTATTGAACTTATATTTATAAATTTATGAGTTCAAATGAACCTGGTACTATCACCGGAGGCGGACCCGCGATTCGACCGCCTCTGACTATATCATTATATTGCGCATTGTAATTATCAGATGAAGCACGTCATTACTTTTTCTAGAGATAATTTTATTCATGGTCATTGAACTTTTGTGTTTGTTACCCAAAAGCCACTTTTCTTTTTTTTTGTTACGTAAAAATATTCAACTTTGTGTTCATTACACAAAAGTCACTTTTGTTACACAAAAATCACTTTACTTTGCTCTAGTTATCACAAAAGTCACATTTTTACTTGAAAAGTCTATTATACCCTTGATATTATATAAACCTTCATATTTATAATACCTCCTATATTATATACTATATATATATTTTTACCAATTTATTTTATTTATAAATAAAATAACTGAATATTATTTTATTTATTATTTTTATAATATATTCATATATTTAGTTTTTTCTATCTTTAATTTTCAAGATATATTACTAGCGTTATAAAATAACTTTTTTTTCAGCAATTCTTTTTTTTTTTTTGAATTTAATTGACCGACCAAAGTTGGTCGGTAATTTCCGACCAGCTTTGGTCAGTATGCCCTTCTGACCTTCAAAATACCGACCATACGTTAATGGCCGCATTTTTGGACGGTTAGTGGCCATTACCAACCAATTTTGGTCAATTTTTTTGGACGATTTTTCCCAAATTTCTAGTAGTACAATTTTCCAAATAACCAATTGCCCAGGTAAATTCCCAAGAAAATATCCCCAGCTAAATTCGCATGTAGAGTTACCTAGGGATTTTCCTTCAGATTAACATATGATTTTTTCCTCAGTTTTTTTTTTGTTTGACTGCGATTTTTTCACGAAAATGTACTTGCCGATTTATTTCTCTACTAATATATAAAAGTTACTGACAAATTAAATAACGCTACTAATATATTTTGAAAATTAACGTTAAGGAAAAATTAAATATGAGAATATATTATAAAAATAATAAATAAAATAATATTAAGTTATTTTATTTATAAATAAAATACATAGTTAATAATATATTATATAATATATAATATAGAAGGTATTAAATAAATATGAAGGTTTATATAATATCAAGGGCATAATAGACTTTTCAAGTAAAAATGTGACTTTTGTGATAACTAGAGCAAAGTAAAATGATTTTTGTGTAACAAAAGAAAGAAAAGTGACTTTTGTGTAATGAACACAAAGTTGAATGATTTTTACGTAACAAAAATAAAGAAAAGTGACTTTTGCGCAACAAACACAAAAGTTCAATGACCATGGATTAAATTAACTCCTTTTTTTATGTTACAGATTATTTATTTTTAGGTGATTTAAATTTTAATAATGTAATTTTTTTTTTTACAGTTGTGTATAAGTTTAACTATATATTCGCATACAATCAGATGCGGACTTACCCTTAGGGTAGGTGGCTAATTTTAGGAAACATATATGTATATATGTTTGAAATATCAAGTATATATTTTGATTAGCACCCTAAAATTTAAAGTTTAGGTTGTTGTATTGGTCGATTTGGAGGGGGGAGGGCACAATTTGACTTTTGGTGCGCTGCCTGGGTACGACTCCTATTTCAGAATCTGTTCAAATTTTTGTTCGATACTTTAAATCCGGAATCCGTCTCTACTGATACAATCATTGCCCTTTTGGTAGTATGTGGATGTTTGGGGGTTGGGGTGGTATAGGGGAGCAGTTCAAAGCATAAAGATAAAAGGAGGCTACGTGTTGTATGATTCTTAGCAACATCGATAAATTGATTCTACTGTCCCTACAATTTTTTTTTTTTTTTTTGGTCCTATTTAATTATTTATATGTATGTGGATTTTTGACGCATAAATAATTAAGGTATTTTTGTCCCTCTGTCTGTGTGTGAATACAAATGAAAAGGGCACTATAGCTAATCATGTGAATTTTGCTACTAGTTTGCTATTACTATAATTTATATCAATTAGTTGGGAATATATTTTAGCTACGTTTGTACGTTTATTATATTTTCTAATGATTTTTTAGTCCTATCAAAGATTTAATTGTATGCAAGCCACGATGGTTGAAAATATAGAAAATTTCAAGTATTTTTTTTTTTTTTTTAAATAATATCAATGAGATGAGCTTAAATAGAGCGACACAATCAATAAAGGTTCATTTAACCGATATTCGCTCGCTTGAAATTGAAGCATAATTTTGGGATCAGTGGAATGTTAAAGTTGACAAAAAGGGAAAAGAATTTGAGTCTCTTACCCTAAAACACACATCAAGAAAAATACATTAATTTATCCTAGAAATATTTCCAAGATTAGATTGAATTTAGTCTATGTTTTCTAGTTATATAACTATGTTTGATTCATTAACAATTTTGAAACATGCAAAAAAGTTAAAAGATGTTAGCTTTTCAAAAATTTCCTTATTTTGTCTATTGTAGTTGGGTAAAGTAAAAAACTATAGTTCAAAATTCTACTGTCAGTTTATAATTCCAAAATATTAGGCCGTTACCTATTTGGTTCTTTTTATGTCAATATAAATCCCCTCCACATTAAAATATGTAATCTCAATCTTTGCTCTAATTTTTCGTTTCTTTTAATTTTCTGTTCAAATTATAAAGTTAAAATAATTCTTGAAACCCATCATTGTTAGATAATACAAGGTCAACAGGGAACGTTTAGGTATGAGTTCGGATAAACTCAATAATGTTTGCTTAAAGTCTCAGACCCTGTATTTATATTAAATAGAAGTAAATATTTAATTACGAACTCAATAATTAAGACGAGTTATAATTTTGATGTTAACTTTAGAATCCATAATTACAAATGAAGACATGGACTGTGTTTGGCCAGAAACAAAAGATGTGACAATTTGTACTAATTTTACGTGCATGAAAATGCTATGTTGTTGACAAGCCAAGAGTTTTAATTATAACAGCTAAGATTCTTTTAGGTCCACAAATCCAACGATATAGATTTTTGGAGAGAAATGGGAAGATATTGTATTGAATGATCAATGATAAAAGTATTTATCTTAGGTGTACTATTTTTAAACAATATTTCTCAAATACCTTTCACATATTTGTACTTATAAAAAATTTGACCGATTACCTTTTCTATAAATTTTAAATATGTAAATTTAATTAAAAACGTTAAGGAATTAATGTCTGAAGTCGTGGCGGAAATAAGATGTTTTCGCGTTCGTGCACCGAGGGGGGGTAGGGGGGGGGGGGTTAAGAAAATGTTTTTTGGTTACTTAGCTGATCTTCGATAATGTGCTTTGGGTGCTATAACTAATTTGGATTCGCATCGTCACTTCTTCAGCCAAAAACGATATACGCACCTAAACTATGAGTAAGCTGCACGAAAAATTGCTCTTTTTTTGATTTCGAAACAACTTAGACGATAAGGCTTACTAAAAAGAAAAAGGGTTTCCTATCAAAATTATTGTTATTCATAAGGTTTACGTCCAAAACCTCTAATTAAGAAGGAGAGATATTATCTATAACATTAGGAAATGTAAGCACAAAAAGAAAGAAATTAAAAAAAGCATTTGGTACAAAGAATATATGAAGAATAGGTGGAGAATTTGTTTAATGTAGGGGCCAAACTCTGGAAGTCAAAAGAAAGGCTATAGCTATCAAATAATTAAAATGGAGAATTTTATTGTCTTTTTGGTTGTTTTTGGTTGCCTTCCCTTTTGTATTTATGTGGGATGTCACTTCTTGGACATGTGAGCTAGGACCCCCTTAAGAAAATCACAAAATTATGTCACAGGACACACCTTATTATTTGAATTGAATAAATAAATATAGCAATTACTTAATTTCATTAATTAAGTAACCAAATTCATTTGTATTTCCTTGTGAACCGACAACTTGCATTTTAATTTACAATATTTGAAATGTTATAGATTGATCATAGTGGGTTCGTGACATGAGGTATGATAATCATATATTTCGGGTTCTAGTCTTAGAAATAAAAAGTATCCTAGTAGGTAGCGACTTTTCCTTTAATGAGTCTTATAGTGAGAATCAAAATTAATCGGAATCCAAGGTGTCAGACGTCGGATAGAAAAAAAAACAAAGATTACGAAGAGTGAATTTGTAACATGGAAAATGACATATACTAATATTCCACCAAAAATAAAAAGAACTTCTTACAGCAAGAGACAAAACAACTCAGTCTATGCTTCAGAAATTATCCTCACAAGAGTTTTACTGATTTTTACATACGGAGAGACTCTTTTATCATACTAATTGTATCAGAGAGACGACACCAACATCGCGCCAATCCCTAGCTAGTTGTGATCGACTATATGAATCATTTTCAAAGAAATCACGGAAAGAAATCAGAAGATATAAGAAAGTTGATTGCCTCCTTAGAAACAAGTGTTGTAGCAAAACGAATATCCAACATATGAGTTTGACAAAGATAGCCCAGATAAAGTCGAATAGTCAAATATATGAATTTGACAAAGGTGAAGCAACCTTAAGAAGGTGACATACTAATATAGCCCCATGTAAACATGAGACAAATGAAGTTTGACGAATACCAAAACTGGACAACATTTTCATGGAATCACCAACACAACCTCTTCAATAACGATGCCTGCTCCGCTCACGGTCTCGGTCACGGCCATATTCTCTGTCTCGATCATAGTCGTAGGAGCGGTCTCTGTCTCTTCCCCTATCCCTCTCTCTGCTTCTGCTCCGGTGCCTAGATCTCTCTCTCTCATCATAATCTCTTGATCTTCCTCTGCTTCTCTCCTTTCTATCTCGGTCAGCCACACCTGCCAAATTAAAGGGTAATCGTCAGGAACACTTAGGTCTTCCA